CCCTGTATGTGATTACATATTTTGATTCTACGTAAAATTCTGAGCAGATTTCATGTGATATACCCTATACCTAAGTTCAACTGTTTTGGAATTATTGACAGTTGAAAATTGACTTTTTGCAACTTTGACAGGCTGTAAAACCTGAACGGTTAATTTAAGAGAAAAACCAATTTCACATTCCTATCTTACATCTTCATGAACTATCATTTGACACCAACTTTGAATTTACCCGGAGATTAAATTTAATTGGAATTTTTAATCATGGATTAAATTTGAAGTAGGTATCAAATGATAGTTTATAAAAATCTAAGATAGGAATGTAAAATCGGTTTTTCTCTAAAATTAACCGTTCAGGTTTTACAGCCTGTCAAAGTTGCAAAAAGTCGATTTTCAACTGTCAATAATTCCAAAACAGTTGAACTTAGGTATAGGGTATATCACATGAAATCTGCTCAGAATTTTACGTAAAATCCAAATATGTAATCAGATACAGGGTGTTCCATTTAAAATAGCGCTGTTGCCACTGGTTTAGGGTAGAAGCGGCAACACCGCATAAACAAAAATATTTTTAAAGTGTAGATTATGGTCGTTTATACCGGTTGCCAAATTTTCAAAATGATCCGCTTTTTAGTTCTCCATAAACGTCTAATACGCCATCCACCGTGGGACACCCTGTATATAGGCTATATCTATCATGTAGGGATAGGCGCCACAGTGACATGCTCATATTATGACAACAAGTGCCTGTTTTTTCTAAAAAAAAAACTATACTAGATTAAAAAAAAAAACAATGTCAAAAAACACTAGGTACATTCAGAATATCCTACACTAACAGTTAAAATAACATGATATAACTCTGAAAAAATACTAGAACATCAAGACCAAGGAATTTTTTCATTCTAATAAAAAAAATTCTGCAGCTGTATGCAACATCCTCTTTTAACTTAAAAGCGCTTTTTAAAACTGGTCACTTCTAAAAATGTGTATTCTAAGCCATACAAATTTTTAAAGGTACCAGTTTTAAAAAGCGCCTCTAAGTCAAAAGAGGATGTTGCATACAGCTGCTAGTCTTTTGTAAATAATAAAAGGAAGACCAATACTTTTCCTGGCGAACTTAAATATCTTGAAATGTCTAGTTGTTCGGATGTGGAGATCCCTGACATGTTTACAGATTATTTTTCTTCTGTCTACTCGAATAATCACCATGATATCCCTACACATAAATTTCCTTCATCTATAGTCCATATACCAAACCAAATCATCATATACTAATATCTGACATATAAGTAAACTAAATTATACACACTTGATGTTAACAAGGGCCCTGATCCGGACGGGGTACCACCCATATTTCTGAAAAAATGCTGTTCCAATCTCTCAAAGCCCCTTCACCATATTTTCAACCTGTCATTACGTAGAGGTGTTTGTCCGGATTTCTGGATGGGAAAGTTTCCTCAAGCCCATCTTTAAATCCGGAGATAAGATAAATCTATGGTAACCAATTACCGATCCATGAATCTCATCAGTACAATCCCTAAGGTATTTGAGAGCCTAATCCCTAATAACACAGTAACATCGCAGAAACATTCCAGAAACATCCATCAGGGATAATGAAGACGTCCCTGGGAGGTCCCTATTTTCCTGGGGACATCCCTGGGATGTTGCAGGCAACAGCCGTGTCATCATTTGCGATGTCCTATAAACATCTCTCAGGGATGTTTCTAAGATGACGCGGGATGTACCTAATACATCCGGGGCAGTTGTACTAAACATCCTCTATATGTTTCTAGTATGACTTCAGTGGTTAATGAATTTTAGGATTATGGATTAAATTTTACCTAATTCAATAATTTTCAATTTTCGTTCTATTTTCTGGAAGTCAGATGGAACTTTTTCCAAAAAAAAAACCAAAAATTGAAAATTATAAAATTAAGTAGGCACATCAGTTTCCAATAACATTTTTTATTGAAAAAATAAGGTACATGCATACTTATATTGATTATCTATCAACTAATAATAACCGATGGACAATTTTGCCTAAATACCTAATGCAGTATTTTTGCCCCGTTATGTCATCGAAAATCATAGTTTGGCAGTGGCAGCATGTTGTAGTGGGGGAGTTCGGCATTTTCTTTTTTCTTGGTGCTCCAATTTCATAAAGGTGCCATTGACTAAACAAAACAACCACAGAACCAAAGTCCAAAGTTCTTGAAGTACAATTCAACTTGCACACCTAGAATGTAATCAACTATGAAAACAAAAAATAATTATTGGTTATTTTGTCTTACCTAATGAAGAATGAAGTTCGGGTTTTTAGAGGCTATTTATCAAAAAAATTAGAAATTTCCTAACCGACGCCATATTGAATTTAAATAAACTAAACAATTGATAATTATGCGACGTTATCTTTCAACAAATAATTTTTCTCACCAACTAATAAGCACTGGTAGGTCGCAGAGATCCTTTCGAACACAAAATGGCACAGCTAGGTGTAGCGAAAAACCACAATTGACAAATCCTCCACACGGCACGACGCCATTACGAAATAAAATTCCGCCCAACAACACAAGCGAAGCACACAGAACGACCCGTTCGACTGATTCTGCCCGTCTGCGCTGGCTGCGGCGCCGACGTAGCGTCGTGCCCTCTTCTCCTATCCTGACCGATACAAGTACAAATGCCCGAGCACGCGCCTGCGCCATACACTTCGGCTTCACGAATATTCACGATGTTTGAAAGTTGAAAAGAGAGAAGACTAAGACTTTTATCAATACATATTTTATTTTATTCCAAGTTGTAAGTCGAATGAAAAATTAATTTTTGCTGTTGTTACAATACAAAATTAATATTAAGTACCTTATCTTTATACATTACAGGTATATTATGGAATTTGAAATTAGTTTGTGTGCGTGATAGAGACATTTTCAGAAATCACGCAAAATTTGCAAATTTAATACTGGGTCCTACCGGTCTGAGGTCCTACCTAGTTTTGTAAAATAATGTTAGCCATTTTTTAGATGTAATAAGTATCTAATTTTGAGAACAAAAAATCTTTTTGTCGATAGATATTTTCGAAAGGATGTTTCTAAAACATTTCAGGACAATCATCCTAGAGATGTTACATTACAAACATCGCAGCGATGTACCATTTATGTCGGAAACATAAGGACCTTAATGGTACATAAATGGGATGTTTCTGGCGAATCGGTGTTATTAGGGATATGTAACTTTTTGACCCCCTTCATAGAGCCTAATTATTTCAGGAAATAGTTTGGCTTCAGACCGGGCAAATCTACGGAATTGAATCCTACAACACAAACTGCCTATTTGTTGGATGCCTTGGAGAAGGGATTTCAAGTCGATACGATTTTCACTGACTTCTCCAAAGCATTCGACAAAGTCTCCAATGCCATTCTTTGGTTGATTGGAATCGATGAGCCTTGATCTCATGGTTTCACAGTTAACTACTATTGTCCGGTCGAAAGCAGATTGTTAATATCGGTTTATTGGTAATTTCCTTTTCAAAATTATCCATGTTACCTCCAGTATACCACGAAGGTCCCATCTTGAGCCACCCCTTTATTCACGAATGCCTCACCACATGTCTTTTTTTGTTGTTTGACGATTACCTCAAAATGAGTTGCATAATTAAATCTCCTGAAGACTGTGACATACTACAGTACGATCTTAACAACCTTCAAGACTAGTGCAATAATAGAAATGACATGTATCTCAATCCTTCTGAATGTAAAGCCATTACTTTTATTATAAAATTGATCAACGCCCTTGGGGAGCTTTCCATTATCAAACACCTTAGTGTTTCACTGGACACAAATCTACATTTTACCAATCACATAAATAATGCAGTTGATAAAGCTCTCCAAATCCTGGGTTTTATCGGAACGAAAACCCAATATTTCACCAATATTACTGCTTTAAAAACTTTATAATGCGCCCTGATCCGCCCTTATCTACTAGAATATGCCTCTGGCGTCTGGTCTTTCTATGGTGTACACAAGGATTTTCTCTAACTAGTTGAATACAAATTTTTGAAACAAATGACCTATAAACTAAACATTTTGGATAATTATAACGACACCCTACTACTCTCTAGGTTACATATGGCCCCCGATAACTATGCGTGATGAGAGAGACCTTACAACGTATGATATTCTACATGGGAAGGCTTCGACTCCTGAAATTTCTCATAAAATCAGCATTCATGTCCCTCCTGGACTAACAGATCAACTAGCAGTTTTCTCGACTCATCGTACCAATTATGGACTTAATACCTTTATCTCCCGATCAGCTAGACTCGCAAACGAGCACTATGAGATTGACCTTTTTGCTCCCTTAAACATTTTCCTCAGTCAAATTTGGATTTTCAATTGAAATTAATTGTACTTTGTATAACTACTCTTTACTATTGGATGTGATTTTCACCTATTTTCACTATTCCGATCTATCCTATCGAAACTTCACTCATGTTTTCTCATGTACTAACTGTACTTATTTGTTATTACTTTTCCTATTGATTCTTAAGTAGTTGATTTTATTTTTATTTTATTATTGTTATCTTTGTTTATTTTGGTTATTTTGATCTGGTTTAACTATTCTCAACTTGTTGTGAATTGAGAGTTTAACATTTTGTAAGTGGGTTCGCCCGTTGATAAATAAATATTGCCCACTGATCTCTTCTCTTTTATGTCAATTACATCGCCCCTTGTTAATATGGTTGGCATGTGTATTGAGAAGCTGTCAGTCAGTGTACCAAAAGATAAAATAAAATAAAAATAAATAAGTTTATTATAAAGTGCGTTTTTTTTTAAAGATAAAAGTCGAAATGACATTATGTTGGCAATACAATTTAAAATTGTCAATGTTTCAAATTTTTTATGTAGAAAAGGCTTATGTTGCCAACACAGTTACTAAATTTTTGACTTGGGGAATTATCTTAAAAAAAAAAAAACGCACTTTAATATTTTTCAAATAACATTCAATAAAATCTAAAAAATATAATTATATAGGTATATTATATATAAATAGTATAGTAAAATAAAAGTAGCTACCTACTTATGTAAGTAAATGATAAATGCTTAAAATATTGTGCTCGATAAAAAAAAAGCTAGTTGTCTTCTAGACTTTGGTGAACCTTAGCATGATATCCTTTTTCAAGGTAAAGCCAATAGATGCGTGATCGAATTGCAAAGGAAGCTGCGTCCTTTCATCTAAAGTTATTCTGTAGTCTTTTATCGAGGTAGCAATTCCAATTTTAGTTTGCACTCGGGCAAATCTCATTCCTACAAAAAAAAAACTTAGTTTTATTATAGTATACATATAGTTCCAGGCCCCAGTTTTGAGCCAAGTTCACTTCTGGGTATAGGTAGATGAAATATTATGAAGAATTAATTAAGTGATAGTTTACAAATAACATTATACAGGGTGACATAAAAAACTTCAAGTCAGGATGGCCTTAAATCTATTGTCTGTATATCACTACAACGACCAATGAAAGTTTGTGGACTTGGACCGTGACTTTGAAGATATAATTGAGTATTTCTAGGTTGCAGGTGCGAATATAAGTAATGAAAATATATTCTCAATATTTTCTATACGGAAAATTTACAGTACAGAAGTTAAGTGTATCTAATCCACTGTCACTTTTCCTCATGCCATAAGGGTGTATCGCTTCTAGAAACAGGAGGTAGAATATGCAATACATGTAGTGGTAATGCTTTTTAAAGCGATGAATAGAAAATGGAGCTCCCATTTTCATCTAATACTCGCAAGCTATATCCCGGTTTTGAAATTATTGTTTCTTGTCAGAGCAACACAATTAGCATAATACCAACCAGAAAACAAGGTTGTTAGATTAAACCAACAAGAATTAAAAGGTAATTAAAAATAAGCTTATCAGGCTGTACCTAATTTAAATGAACAAAAATGTTAGTATTTCAAATGCAATTAGTTTATGGACAATATATAATTTATTCTAGATGATATTCATGAAAGTCATACCTATGCATTGCCTAGGACCTTCACCAAATGGCAAATAAGCGAAATCGGGCCTCTTAGCAATATTTTCCGGGGTGAACCTTTCTGGGTCGAATTCTTCTGGATTCGGGTAATATTCTGGATCTCGATGAATTCCAATTGCTGGGATATGAACTTTGGTACCTATTAGTTACAAATTAAAAAAAAAAGCCATTATTAGTATTATTAATGGAAAATTGTAGTTTAACCAGTACCCGCACCTTTCTTAAGTACGACATCTGTGCCAGGTATCTTATAATCTTTTGAACATGCTCTTGGATAAACTGCAAGTACTGGATACTTCCTGAGGGTTTCTACAAAAATATAATTATTGTTTGCCCAATTTGAATATAATTATAAATTTGACATTACCTTTTAGTATTCTATCAAGATATTCCATTTCACTAAGACTTTCATAAGTGAATTTGCCATTATGTTTATCTAAATTAGCCAATATTTCTTCGCGCAGTTTGTCCTGCATTTGAGGGTTTTGCGCCAATTCCAATAAAGCAAAAGTCATTGTACCTGCAGAAGTTTCAAAACCAACCAAATAAAATAAAAATGCCTCATTAATAATTTCTTGCTCGGTAAGATTTTTTTTATCTGAAAAAAAAAAAGTTGTAAATATTCATAAAATTTTCATCGTCATACAACATATTATTATGTACTACGACTAGGATCGTTAAAATTTGAATAAAAGGCATTTCAAGACATCGTTTTAGATATCCAGTATTCAATAATTCAAGTTGTGATTTATACCGTCAATAAGGATGAAATTTTATAATCATTATGTAAAAAAAATTAGATATCAATACTGGGTAAACCAACAAGAAAATGAGGCCAATACACAATGGACGTCAGCGATGGTAATACAATTGTCCATTCAAATTTATGAATAATTTTATTACTCTAATTGATAATAAAAAGAATGAACTGCTTCTCACCGTCAGAAACAACGACGTCACCATCATTACCAGCCTCTCTTTTCTTTTGTTGCAAAAGAAGTTGCAAAAAATCGTTTCTCTTCACGTCATTACTTTCCCTAAATTTCAATGTGTCGCTAACAATATCTGAAATGAGGAAAATTAACACAAAGATTGCTCCGTTGTTTAAAATTAATTACTTGTAAAATATGCTTCGACGTCTTTGGGGACTAATGTATGGCCGCACGCAGCTAATAAATTAGCTGGAAAAGTTAATTCAAGGAAGAAACCAATCAGGTTTGGTTTGAGAGCTTTTCTTCCAATTTGTCTATAAAAAAAAATTGGTTTGAAAACTCAAAAGTATAGTCGTAAAGCTATAGAGTTGAAACAATATCACATCTATTATATCTACATAATAATGTATTTTATCAGTAAAATGTTGATTTAAGAATTGTATTTACCTGAATATATTATCAGCATCTCTTAGTGTGTTGCATTCGAGACCGAAACCTACGCTGGCAAAAGTATCAGTACCATACCTTGCCATTAATTCTTTAACTGCAATCGCTTTATTGGCATCGGCTTCCCGAATAATTGCTTTCGAAAGTTCACTTGCTTTTTCCAATACCGTTTCGAACATAATTTTAATTTTACCTAAAAAATAATCAAGAATTAGGTACTTACACAATATGAGTCAAAACCTATAGGTGGAAAAGTTTAAAAATTGCTTGCGCTTTTTACACATTATCTCTTCATCATCAATTATTATCATTTGCTGAATGAAGAGAAAGTTAAGGAAAATTGGAAGATTGAAAATTTAGGCACTGGGCGGAATTCGAACCTGCGTCTTCACCATTATTGTTTTTTTAATACTTACCTATTTGGAAGTACCTACCAGTCATTCTAGTGACTTAACGTATGTCGCTTCTTGAACACACAAATAAAATTAGATTAGGAATTTTCTATTTAAACATGAAATTGACGTTTTAGCAATCGACGTTTGTTTTTGTTGGTAATTTTTTGTTTCATCCGATTCGTGATTAATAAATAAGGATAAAGTTATTCTAAATGGGTATTAAAAATACCATACCGGTGCTACGTTCTAACTAAGCCACAATGACCCTACAGATCTTTTTGATTTTTGTTTGGTGTTGTTAGAGGAAGTTGCGTTGTTCTCCGCTCATTGCCAAACTTCTCAATTCTCCAATAGACCCACATATTTATGACAACTTCCTCTAATAACACCAAACAAAAATCAAAAAGATCTGTAGGGTCATGGTGGTTAAGTTGGTTAGAGCGTTACACCTGAAGACGCGGGTTCGAATTCCGCCCAGTGGGAGCGCGATATAGTCGTAAATCCACCAAAAAACAGTCACTATGACAGGCTGAGTGAGAAAACTCATCGCCTTCTGAAGTACGGAGAGTTCACATTTCTTTAAATAAAGAGAGACCATCAGTTATTTAGTTTTCTGATAGGGTCCTACATCCAGGCCTAGAACTGGTCCCAGTTACTAAAGAGGCCTGCTTCCCTAAACTCCATGTTCCCTAACTTCTGAGGTCACTTTCATGGTCCCTGATGGATAGTGCCTATCGTCCCTAATGGCACCTCAACTTGAAGTAGTGACCACAGGTTTCTTTACGTTTAAATTTTACCTTTTATATTACACAGGGTGTCCCAGAATATGTGGGCAATCTCTCGGATTTAGATAGAACGCAAAAAAATAACATGACAACATCCTATAAAAAAAAAATCCTACGGCCCCCCCCTACAAAGTTACGTGCCCCTAAAGGACGCCTCTGAAAATCGGTGTTTTGTTGATAACTTTCAAAATACTTCGTGTAATTTTTTTTTTTTAAATATGATGGATACTAGATAAGACCCCTTCAAATGGACCCTTTCAAACACACTTGGCCAATCTAGTTTGCCAGAGACGGACTAGCTTTAACACAATAATGCTAATTTTTTTTACACCCTGTATGATATAAACATAGCAACAATATTTTTAGATAGTTTCAACCTTGAACTAGAAAAAAGGTACTCTTATTCGATGTCGAAAAAATGAGCTGGTTTCGAGAAAAATCTGTTTTTGTGTATTAATGATTTTTATTAAATAATTTTTTATGTCGACTCAACATGAAATCCTTCTAATCTTATGCATTCCATACCTATTTTAATGAAAGATTGTTCCACTCTCGATAATGCTTCAATTTTAGCCCTTATTTCGCGACAGTGGAAATTAATCCTTTTTACTAATATTTCCTCAGTGTCATTATTGCGTTAAAGCTAGTCCGTCCCTGGCAAACTAGATTGATCAAGTGTGTTTGAGAGGGTCCATTTTAAGTGGTCTTATCTAGTATCCATCATATTTAAAGAAAAAAAATTACACGGAGTATTTTGAAAGTTATCAACAAAAAACCGATTTTCAGAGGCGTCCTTTAGGGGCACGTAACTTTGTAGGGGGGGCCGTAGGAATTTTTTTTTATAGGAAGTTGTCATGTTATTTTTTTGTGTTCTATCTGAATCCGAGAGATTGCCCACATATTCTGGGACACCCTGTATATGATATTGAGCATCACCCAATTGGAATGTCTCCTTTCCATGTTCAGTTCGTTGTTCGGCTGAGCATGTGAATTTTCAGAGCAGAAGAGTCAACGAAGCTGTTTAATTTTTTTATTGAGCATTACCCAGTTGGAATGTCTCATTTCTATGTTCTGTTCACTGTTCGGTTGAGCATATGAATTTTCAGAGCAGATAGACCCAACGAGGTTCTTTCATATTTTTTTATTGAGAATTACCTAAATGGAATGACTCATTTCTATGTTCAGTTCGCTGTCCGGTTGAGTACATGAGTTTTAAGGGCAAATAGACCAGTAGAAAGGATCCCAATTTAAATAAAATGATCGATCATTATTATTATTTCACACAATAATATTTAGTTAAGTGTAGTACTGGGTTGGAATCTAATTATTCTTACATTTATGATTCTCATTAAATTGACATCCTAGATTTTGTAGTTTTTCATTAAACTTTTATCAAACATAATAAAGTGGAGAGTGTTAGTGTATTATTTTTTTTATACTTAATATTTCAGATTTATTATTGAGGTCTATTTCGAGATTGGAGACCTTATAAATAAAAACAACGTGGCGCCCTCAGTAAACCCACTCCTCAAACACGACTAAAAATGCTTTCCGATGAACAGCTGCCATAGGCAATAACATCTTATTTTTAGTCCAAAGCAATTAAAAACGTTACAACATAGAAAAACCAACCCAAGGCAGTAAACGGAACTTAAAGGGGGTGTGTGCAAAAAAACAACTTCATCTCAAAAAAAAGAGAAAAAAAATCTAAGAATAACAGTGAAAACCGCACCCCTCTGTGACAAATAATACCGAAGATATGGCTCTATGAAGGTCTCGAATCTCACCCTATGGCGTCACGAAAGCTTAAGCGACGCACGAGAAAGTGAAGTAAATTGAATTTACGTATGTTTTTCCTGTGTCACCTGCAATAATCTAAACAAAAATTAACAATGCAAAGCGCGGGTGGACGAAGCTCTCGTGACGTCACACACATTTTAAAGCGCTATATCTCAGCGATGGTTTATCGTAGAATAACAAGGTTTCAACAGTTATTCTTAGATTTTTTTACACTAAAACTTAAATTTTTGGCGCACACCCCCTTTAATGAAGACACCCTGCTAGAAAGCTCTGCTTCAGAGGCCGATACAACTCTGAGAGAACAGAAAATGGATAAGGATCAAAATCAAATCAATCAAAAACTACAAAAACGCGACTTTCTGGAGCACAAGGACGGAAGGTGGCCGTACAAGCAGCCAAGGAACAGGGGGAGGCCATTCGCTACAAACGAAGAAGGTGCACCCCCGACACTCATTCCTATTGCCAGCACCTAACGTGCTAGGAGCTCTTATACTCCCTTCGTAAAAGCTGAGACAAGCGAGGAACGAATGAGCACGGGATCTGAAGCACTAGCAAAGACGCCAACATCGAAATGTCACAGATCTGACAGAAGCACCCTCAATGCGCAAAGTCAGAAGAAGGCAAAGACAGACAGAGGCAAAGTAGCCTTCAACAACGTCCTTACTGCCGTAAAAATCGCCATTGTTTCTCAGGACTTACCCGAGACACGCCTGTCAGAGGAGCAATTCGACCAACTCCAGATGGCGCTATTGGATGCGATTCAAGCGGAACCGCAAGGTTCCGGACCGGCTTCCAATGGATGCTATCTAGAGAACGGTGCAGCCGTACTCTCATGCAGAGGGAGGCAAAGCTATGGAAGCCTGGGTACACGCCGTCATCCCACTACTCAAATTATGGCAGGATGCATCGCTGAAAGTAAGAATAGCCAAAGACCTACTGAACACGAGGAAGGTGTAGGTGATCGTGCTGGCACCAAAAGCACTGAACCTCAAATCACCAAAGCAAATACTATGTAAATTTGCACAAAACGCAGAACGAGGGTCTCAAAACCGAAGACTGGCACGTAGTAAACCATTCCACGGCGGATAATGGCCTCATGATGGTTCTGAACATCGACGAACCGTCTCTGAAGAAGCTCAGGACTTCCGGCATGGAAATCTGTGCAGGACTCTGGAAAGCAACATTCAGGGTTCAGCCAAGAGGGAAAACGATGGCTCATACACCGAGTGACCGATCAGTGATTTCGGGTCGATCACCCATTAGACCAGCTCGAAACACCTACATGATCTGAGGTTGGAACGTCATGACAACGCTGAAGAATACTTTTTCGCTGGTCTTTAGGGACTATAACTTTCCAATCATCTCAAGGAGAAGATAATTCAGAAATGGAAGGTTTCACAAATTTATAAAGATTTCCATTTTGAGCACGCCATAGAGGAAACTTTAGGGGTTTGTCTTCGACCTTTTGAAGCATTCCCAAAAACTATTTGTCACTTGTTGATGTGTAAGATGGAGGAGTAAAATTGAAAACAGAATCAACAGCCATAGGTACACTTGGCCAATCATAAAACTGGTACGCATTTTCCTATTGTGTTGTATTGTGTAAACCGACCTTGTTCATCACCTCAATAATGACAAAAAAAGTCAAGTCAGTGTCAAATTTAAACCAATCCTAACATAAAACCAGATGTTGCATTTACTTTTGTTCAGTTTTGACGTTTTTCAAAAGACACTTTTTGTTGTTAAGCCTGACTCACACTAGGCAAATTTAAAAAATATATTTTGCCTGTACCAGTTTTATGTTTGGCCAAGTGTACTGCTCGAGAAACAAAATCGAAAACTGGTCTTTGCCTTTCCGGTGGATAAGTTCAAAATCGAACTGTTGGAGACGTAATTGCCAACGTGCAAGACTATCTTGTGGATCCTTTAAACGATGAAGCCATAACAAGGATGCGTGATCAGTGATAACGATAAAATGGATGTGATCTAAATAGTGACGGAACTTCTCAACAGTCCAAATGACAGCAAGACATTCCTTCTCTGTGACAGTCACTTTCATCTTTTAGCAAACGACCTTTTCACCCTCCTCGTGTCGTTGAGTTAAAACAACTCCCAGCCCATAATTAGAGCATCGGTTTGTGAATAAAACATCCTATCGAAGTCAGGTGCAGTTAGAATCGGAGCAGTGACTAAACATTCTTTGAGGAATGTGAAAAATTTCTGGCAATCTGGAATCCAGGTAAATTTAAAGTTCTTTCTAATTAAATCAAGAACGGGTGCTAACACCGAAGAAAATTCTGAGACAAAACGCCGATACCAAGAAGCAGTTCCCACAAATCTGCGAAATTCATTGATGTTTTTCGGTGGTGGAATGTTGACTATAGCCTCAACCTCTTCTGGATCAGGACGCAACTCTTTCTTATCAACCAAATAGCCCAAGTATTTTAATTCTGGCTTGCAGAAGTGATATTTCTTTAACGAAATAATTAGTCCGACATGACGCAAGCGGTCGAATACAACCTTCAAAAGTCGCAAATGTTCTGAAAAAGAGTTAAAAATTATCACCACGTCATCAATATAGCACATGACATTTGGTTCGAGCTCTGGACCAAGGTTAGTGTCAATGATTCTTTGCCAGGTTGGAGAAGCATTAGATAAGCCAAATGCCATTCGACAGAATTGGAAGAGTCCTCTGCTAGGGACAGTAAATGCAGTGTACTTCTTGGAAGATGTACCCAATGGGACCTGCCAAAATTCTGACTTAATATCGATGGAACTGATATATCGAATCTCCCTTAACCGATCTAAAATGGTTGAAATATATGGGAGAGGATATGCGTCTTTTTTTGTATATTTATTGACCTGCCTAAAATCGATGCAGAATCTGAAGGATCCATCCTTTTTCCGAGCAAGGCACACAGGACTAGAAGAACGCTCAATGGACTACTAGAACGCTCAATGACTCCTAAATTCAACATTCCCTCCACTTCGTCATCTATAAACTTTTGTTTGAAGGGAGAGACAGGGTAATACCCTTGTTTTATGAGTCATGTACCAGGATCTCTAATGATTTCATGCTCAGCTACCTTGCAGCAACCGAGTCCAGTACCCATCTCTACAATTTTCCGCTCTACAAGGGTGTCTAAAGCAGATCGTTCTGACGGAGTCAAATTGTCTCTATCTTGGATATATAAAATATCAGTCTCACCAGCAGACTCAGAAAAATGCCAAACATCTTGTCTAAGATCTGGGATAATTTTCATGGTTTTCCAGAAATCTATTCCAAGAATAATTTTATGTGAAAGTTCAGGAAGTACGATGACATCAATAATGTGAATGTTGTCCATTAAGGTTATGGGTGTTTGAATGCTTGTGCAAGTTTGGTCATTAGCCACAGTGCAAGATTTTTTTTGTTTTAAGTGTTTAAGTCAGTGTCAAATTTAAACCAATCCTAACATAAAAACAGATGTTGCATTTACTTTTGTTCAGTTTTGACGTTTTTCAAAAGACACTTTTTGTTGTTAAGCCTGACACTAGGCAAATTTGAAAAATATATTTTGCCTGTACCAGTTTTATGTTTGGCCAAGTGTACTGCTCGAGAAACAAAATCGAAAACTGGTCTTTGCCTTTCCGGTGGATAAGTTCAAAATCGAACTGTTGGAGACGTAATTGCCAACGTGCAAGACTACCTTGTGGATCCTTTAAACGATGAAGCCATAACAAGGATGCGTGATCAGTGATAACGATAAAATGGATGTGATCTAAATAGTGACGGAACTTCTCAACAGTCCAAATGACAGCAAGACATTCCTTCATTCCTTCTCTGTGACAGTCAGTTTCATCTTTTAGCAAACGACCTTTTCACCCTCCTCGTGTCGTTGAGTTAAAACAACTCCCAGCCCATAATTAGAGCATCGGTTTGTGAATAAAACATCCTGTCGAAGTCAGGTGCAGTTAGAATCGGAGCAGTGACTAAACATTATTTGAGGAATGTGAAAAATTTCTGGCAATCTGGAGTCCAGGTAAATTTAAAGTTCTATCTAATTAAATCAAGAACTGGTGCTAACACCGAAGAAAATTCTGAGACAAAACGCCGATATCAAGAAGCAGTTCCCACAAATCTGCGAAATTCATTGATGTTTTTCGGTGGTGGAATGAGCCTCAACCTCTTCTGGATCAGGACGCAACTCTTTCTTATCAACCAAATAGCCCAAGTATTTTAATTCTGGCTTGCAGAAGTGATATTTCTTTAACGAAATAATTAGTCCGACCTGACGCAAGCGGTCGAATACAACCTTCAAAAGTCGCAAATGTTCTGAAAAAGAGTTAAAAATTATCACCACGTCATCAATATAGCACATGACATTTGGTTCGAGCTCTGGACCAAGGTTAGTGTCAATGATTCTTTGCCAGGTTGGAGAAGCATTAGATAAGCCAAATGCCATTCGACAGAATTGGAAGAGTCCTCTGCTAGGGACAGTAAATGCAGTGTACTTCTTGGAAGATGTACCCAATGGGACCTGCCAAAATTCTGACTTAATATCGATGGAACTGATATATCGAATCTCCCTTAACCGATCTAAAATGGTTGAAATATATGGGAGAGGATATGCGTCTTTTTTTGTATATTTATTGACCTGCCTAAAATCGATGCAGAATCTGAAGGATCCATCCTTTTTCCGAGCAAGGCACACAGGACTAGAAGAACGCTCAATGGACTACTAGAACGCTCAATGACTCCTAAATTCAACATTCCCTCCACTTCGTCATCTATAAACTTTTGTTTGAAGGGAGAGACAGGGTAATACCCTTGTTTTATGAGTCATGTACCAGGATCTCTAATGATTTCATGCTCAGCTACCTTGCAGCAACCGAGTCCAGTACCCATCTCTACAATTTTCCGCTCTACAAGGGTGTCTAAAGCAGATCGTTCTGACGGAGTCAAATTGTCTCTATCTTGGATATATAAAATATCAGTCTCACCAGCAGACTCAGAAAAATGCCAAACATCTTGTCTAAGATCTGGGATAATTTTCATGGTTTTCCAGAAATCTATTCCAAGAATAATCTTATGTGAAAGTTCAGGAAGTACGATGACATCAATAATGTGAATGTTGTCCATTAAGGTTATGGGTGTTTGAATGCTTGTGCAAGTTTGGTCATTAGCCACAGTGCAAGAATTTTTTTGTTTTAACAACTTCAAACATAAGCTGAAAATAGAGTGTCATATCCAGGCAACCCAACCAGAGTACGACTAGCACCTGAGTTAAGTAGACCTAACATAGGATATCCCAATATTTTAATTTCAAGGTATGGACGCTGAACACCTTGCGCATGTGATACAATCTAGTCAAGAAGGAGCCTATTACAAAAATCATCAAGGAGGTGTGTAGGAAAGAAATCTCACGACCTAATGATTTCCCCTGGGACCGCTTCCTGAGTTACCACAATTAGGACAATTCCTAACTGTGACGTAAGGGTTACCACAACGATAGCAATGGACTTTCCTAGGGTTAGGACAATCTCTATTCGAATGACCGGATTTCTGGAAATTCCTACAAATTAAATTGGGTGAATTACTTTGTTGTCTTGACCTTTGAGGACCATTGTTGGGTAAATCTACTCTGTCAATGCCAAAGGAATCTGCATCGTTGTTCAAGACAGAATTTGTCAAATCGGAGTTGGGTTGGTCGACCCCAACAAAGGCAAAATCGGATTCTACAAATTGTTGACGTTCTCTGGAAGGTGGAACATAATGTTCAACTCTATATTTCTTTGTCTCCAGCCTAAGACATTCACTCTCTAGTTCTTCAAGTAGTGAGTTAACAACTGGGAGTTGAGTCGGGTAAAAAGGTGATAAATTCCTAGAGAAAATAACCAATTGGGTTTCAGGAGTCAATCTATCGTAACGTCTAAACAAGGTCTGCATACAAGATATGCAGTCTATAATGCTTTCTGAGGTATCTTGGGTTCGCTCTAAAATCTCTCTACAAAGTCTAGCATGGTAATCAGGTGGTTCAAAGTGAAGACGAAGCAACTCACACAATGTTTTTCACGTATCAAATCTGTCACAGTTTGCCCTATACCAATTCAAGACTTTACCTGTAAACAAATCTATGGCACTATCGAAAAGTTGGTGTTCTGTGACATGACGGGATTTACTATGTTCGGCCACTCTCTCTAGGAAGTTATGTACTGACAATTGAGAGTCACCAGAAAATTTGATGTATCATTTCTCTAGATTTGGAGGTATAGAACTATTAGACGCAATTGGTACTTGTGGAGTGAATCGATGGTTGGTGGAGGAGAAGATACGTATAATTCATCAGCATCGAGCCGAGCTGTCGACTAAGTTCAGGATCAGCTCGAACAACCGCCTCCATATGATCCAAAGCAGCCAAAACGTCAATGAGGAGTTCAGTCTTCTCAAACCGTTCTTCCATTGACAAAATAGAGTCTGGAATTCGTTTTACCTTGATTGTGTGGAAATGAATCTATTTTGACTTGCCTCACTATAGGCAAAAGAACATGCTCCAGACTTTCCAAATTTTAAAAGCGGTTGCAATATAGACCTTAATTCCTTAACAGTCTTCGTATCACTGAGACACCTCGGACAATAATCTCATGAATTAGCATTTCTCTTTTTTAGGTACGAGATAGTCATCTTGTAATCCATTTTGTTTCAACAAATACGTTAAGCAATCAATAAGAACGATAAAGATAATTGGCTATTATACACAGGGGTTAGAAACTATCTGTTACTCAAAATTAATTTTTAAAAAAATGTTCCTATGCACTTAAAACAGCCAAAAGATAATGGATAATAATAAATGGGTATAAGTAAAAAAAGAAATAAAAGAAAAGAGAAAAAAAAAGTCTTTTACCACAAGGGCAGAAAACCTCTTATTATTCAAATGGCGGCCTCATGTTGGGCGCCAATATTTCGTAGATTTGTTTAAATTAAAGTTTTTTTTAAAATCTAAGCATTTTTACCTGATGTGAATGTTGGTGTAATTTTCACTCGGCGATCTTTCCATTCAGCACCATCAAGAGTAAACATATTTTCTGAAAACTTATCAAATTTGGAATGGTAGAGTCCACGTGCATCAAAATAGTTGAAATCCGTTGTCACTATCCTCTTTATTATATTTAAATCGATAGGTACATATTCCGGTTGCCAAAAGTTGTATATTCCCACGTGTTTGTCTGATTTTTTTCGACCAGCTTCGTACACATCTTGGAAATAACCTTGCACGGATTTGGATCCTGTTAATAACGGTTTGGTATCGCCAAAAATTAGATCAGGATCGAACTGCGGAACTCCTTTTCTCTCCCAATACCGTTGTCTCCATCTGATATAGCTTACAATAACAGCGGTCAGCAATAGGATTATCGAAGTCAGGAAGATCATATTTTATTAGGTATATTACTGGAAATAAAAAAAAATATATTGACTTAACTGTGACCCAAGCAAAAGTTTTGCTAACGAAATAGAACTTTGTGTGTTTATCATCCTATTTTGAAGCCTAGCTCTAAAAAATTACAGAAATAATATTAACTTTCTAGGTCTAAGGGTTTTCAGATAGTATACCTAAACAAACATTTTGTTATTGATACGCTAGAAAATTAACTCATTTGGTTTTAATAGGAAACTAGATACCATCACGCGAAGCTAAAGAAAAACGGCATTCAAACTGACTATGCGCTGTCGCTTACACTGCCATGGCTTCCCATTATTATATAGTAGCGTTAGGTTGCGGTTTTCTTCTGTAAACCAATTAATTAAACTTGCCAGAAAACTTTTGTTAAAGGCCTCTTGAGAGTAAAATTATTTGAGGAAAGACTACCAAATAGCCCATTTCCCCGAAGCTATGTTAACTCGAGGAACTTCCAAAATTTGTTGTCGAGCTTCCAGCACACACTAGATAATTCATAAAGGATTAAGGATTGCCAAATAGCTCTTGGAAAACAAAATTTGGCTTCCATCAGCTGTAATGTTAAATGTGATGCAAGGATTGGAATGCATCAAGAGCATTGATTGGGGAATTCAAGGTTACTGTTTCACAAATTATTTAAATAATAGGTGCCTAATAGGGTTTGTAGTTTGTTCAATTAACTATCCTAAGTCCTATCTCATGATTCGAATAAAACCTCAGCTGTCATGATTGGATTGATGTCACCAGCCTCAACATCTTGTGTATGGAAAGCTATTATTGACAGTCAATTATATTTCAACTAATGCAAGCTCGTTCAGTTACCTATATCTCAAAAACTAGCACGACAAAGTGTTTCCTACGAATCTAAATGTCACAATGGCTGCTTCATCTTTAAATTCTCCAGTTTGTGGATACTGTATTGGGAATATAAAATTATCAGATCATGTGTATAAAACAATCAAGATTTATGTCTTGGGAAATTTCTGTTCTGATGTTACAACTGGACATGATATTCTTTCAAATCATTCAGAAGTAGAATTCAGTTTTGATGAAAATCAATTAAAACTTTCTATCTGTAATCTATTAACAGTAAATATTCGACCTTATCCACTAAAAATTGCCAGCCTATTGCTATTAAACGGTTTTCTAATAATGAAGACAGATTTATAGAAACAGAAATACGAATATTATTGGAAGATAACGTCATTGAACCAAGTAATTCACCTTGGAGAGCACAAGTTTTGGTGAAAAGCAACTCAAATCATAAGAAACGCATGGTTTGTTGATTACTCGTTGACATCAAGTTCACTTCAGGTCAGAACGTTTATCATCTTCTTCCCCTTTACATCATTCAAATCGTCCCCTTCTCCAAAATTCTGAACAATCTCACAATGAAAATGCTGCACCTCTATCTACAGTGTAACCTACTACCCGATTCGTGGTTTAGTTGAAAGAAATCACACGCCACCTTAATATCTTCAAGATTATGTCAGAAACTGAGCGAGGAAGAATTTTGAATATTTCCTTACTTTATCTACAACCGTCCAGTAATTAGGGCATACCACAAGATTTTCCGTGCGGTAGTTACTATTATATTACCGCGCGCTGTATCCCATTTCCAGCATTATTTCACACTAGTGAAATTTGATTTCAAAGTAACGAAAATTCATAATTTTTCACAAACGAAATTTAATTTCACATTTTCGAACATGAATTTCATACCATAGTTGAATCAAATCCAAGCGGCAGTAATGACAACTGGTAATTTTCATTACAACCTTTTTTTTTCCTTTATTTCAATATGATAGTTAAACCTCGAGTTAAACAATAGATGTTTGTACTTAAACTAAAGGCCCTGAGCTGGAAAGCTATGTGGGTCATTCAGTATCATATACATATAACATTGTAACAATATACCATATTATTATATATTATACAATATCACACAGGAGAAAATAGCCAGTAAAAATAGGAATGGTATCATAAAGTTGCACTTATAAATATATTAATTCTAAATTCTCTCTATCTATCTAACCATCGAAGATCAACTGTTTCAGCTTATACACTTGAAGCAAAGTTATGTTCAATCTTTTAACAGATTCTGGAATTCGATTGTAGTACCTTAATCCTTCTGATAAGATGCAAGATGCTGCGTTGGCCAGTTGTAATGTTCATTGCCGACGTTCTTAAGTATTCTGGGTTGACTGGGATGAGACTTGTTGAGTCAATATTGGAAGTCTTGCAAGAATGGATAAAGATGCATGATTGCAAGATATACAGGGAGTGAATATCCAGGATGTCATTCGCCATTCGGATAATATAAGTCTTTTGTTTGAAACAGAAATGGCAGCTTAAACAATTTTCTTTATAGCACTATTTTGGAGAGCTGACAATGGATGTAGTTTGTTGAGGGAAGCAGAGCATTGCCCCATAGCAGAGTTAGATATATGAAGGGTAGTTGAATAACTCACATTATCCACTTTTGACCAAAAAGGAGTTAATGGTACTTCACTATAAGGAAATCTAAATTCTAGAACACAATAATATAAAATCCCGGCAAAAGTGACAATATCCTATAGGTATATAAAACTGTAATCCTAAAAGTCGTGATTCGCAGCAAAACTCACAATATCTGAAACGCGTTATGTGTAATTCTCGAAGTATTATAAATCACATTCTGCTCGAATAGGAGAGTACTTAAACCTTAAACAAAAATTTTACTGCAAAACTCACATTATCCGATTTAACGTATATCGTATTATCGATTTTCAAATTTGTTCGCTGTAAAACTCACATTTTTCAAAGGCATGCAGCAAAACTCACATTTTCCAAACAAAACCTCGAAAATATTCAAAATATCGCATTTTGGTTTATACCATCGAAAAGCGAATTTTTTTCCCGATTTTTAATAGGTATATTATGAGTTTTAAGAAAAAAATTAAGGTTTTTAAGTGACAAGTTTTTTGCGATTTGCCAGAAACTGCTTATGACGGAGATTGTGACTTTTGCCACTACACCCCTCATATGTGAGAATGGATAAGGGAATTGTATATCATCTTACGATGCCTTATGGACAGTCCGATATTCGACCAAGTAGGTATTTCAATTGCTGGTGTAATCTTTTTACATATATGCAAGATGTGCATATCCCAAGTAAGTTTTGAATCGAAAAAGCGTCTCAGGTATTTGATGCAGTTTGCACGAGTCAATGGGAGACCGTGAAAGTTTATCGTGAAGTCAGGCCAAGACTCAAACTTTGATCTTACCATATAGCTTGATTTCTTTACATTTAAACTAAGTTTATGGTAACAGAGCCAATCGCTTATTTTCTGTAAGTCTTCTTCAATAATAATTTTCAAGTTGGCAGGCAGTTGTCAAAATAAGTGATGCAAGTATCATCTGCATATAAATTGAGAGAGCCCTGAAGAGGTATGTATGACAGTGAGTTCATGTAGACTAGGAAGAGTGCCAGTCCCAGAATTGAACCTTGGGGCACTCCGTGTATAATGTTCTCCATTTAACTTCTGTTACCTTCATATTCAACATATACTGTAGTCTGCCCGATAGATAATCCCTAAAACATATTAGTGCTGAACTTCCAATACCAGTTTTTCCGAGCACCTCCACGAGAATTTGTAATTTACCGTATCAAAAGCTTTCCTTAAGTGCATCAAGACAAGTACACACTTATATCTCTTATTAACCTTTTCATAAATATTTGTAATTAGGTTGGAGTCGCTGAGGAGGTTTATTGCTGAGTTTTCTGAATCCATATTGACCCGCATACCAAAAATTTATTCTATCCAAATAACTGGTTAATCTTATATTTACACAGGTCTTCAATACCTTAGACATAGCTGGGAGCAAGGAAATGGGCCTGTAGTTGTTTAGTTCTGTATTATCACCACCCATAAACAAAGGGACAACCTTTGCCATTTTTAACAGACTTGGTACATATGCAGTATTAATAATAAGATTTATCAACTTACATTAAGTAGGCGATATTTCATTTTTCAGTTCCTTGATTGTATCACTGCCTAAACTGTCAGTTCCAGGTGATTTTTCTGGTTTTCATTTATCTATAACTGCAGTGAGCTTCTGTGTAGTCACAGGTTTCCATTGATTTATATAGACAGTAGAAGTGCGTTGGAGTTGAGTGGAAAACATTGTTGGAGGAATGTTTCTTGCTAGTTCTGTAGCATTTCCTGAAAAGTATTGGTTTAGCAAGTTGGCAACATCCTGTGGGTTCTGCACAGTGTGTCCTTTATGTAGGTTCTAACTTGGGTAGCAAGCGGTCATTCCTGGGTTTGGAATCGTTGATTAGTGTTTAGTGTTCTCCATATATGTTCAACATAATTCCCTGCTTTACTAATTTGGGCATTATAATAAGGTTTTTTTTGAGTCAGTTAGTGATTTCCTATATTTTTTTTGGGTTGATTCGTAAAGTTTAAGTAAATGTGGAAACTCTGTCTCTCTGTGGAAACATTTTATGTCGTTGATAGTGAAAATCCCGCCTCCTCATCAATTCAAAGTGTCTCACACTACACCAGGGAGCACTTTTAGCACGAAATCTATTTCTATAGTGTCTATTATGCAAATTGTTATTATAAGAACGTATTATTTGATCACATAATAAATTGGGATAAGACCAGTTTAAGGTTTCAATTTCAGCTAAATTTGCCTTAAAAGCGTCTTTACTTAAAATGGTTACCTACTGTATAGCTATTGCATTTTGCGTTTATTCTTTTTAAGTTTATACTCAATTATTGCAGTCGGTGGTCTGAAATTGCACTATTAGAGATGAACTTAAGCCATAATTACTATTATTACTTAATGCATAATCAATTAAGGTATTAGAATGTTCAGTTACTCTTGATTGTATACTGACTGTTAATGATTATGGTAAATCCATTATTTGATTCAATTATGAGCTGAAGTATTTGCTGCTGTGGGCTCGAATTTAAAATGTTGAGGTTAAAATCTCCAAATATCC